CCGAGGCGTAGCTGGCAAGCGGCAGAGACGGAGCAGGCCGACCACCAGCTGGCCCAGCCCAAGGGAGGTAAGGCACCCGCCGGAAAAGGGGGGAAAAAATGGCGGACAAAAAAAATGGCGGACAGCCTTGCTTGGCGACCCCCGTGAAATGGTCGATCGACCCCAAATGGGGTCCCGACCCACAGGTTGAGAACCACTGAGCTAGTTGATAGCAGACAGATGATGGATGGACAGAGAGATGATAATTAGAGAGACAGGTAGATGGAGATGATAGATATAATAGCTTCATCTTAAAGGAGACATTCATTATATCCATAACTGTATGTTGGTGGTGTTAAGAATTTGGTTTCAAATATCTTTTCCTAATAATTAGAGTTTGTGTGGTTGCTTTTGTTTTTTTTCTCTCGTAGGATGAAAACATAATGCACTCCATGCAACTCTTTGAAAACGTCATTTAACCTCACGCAAGCTCTCCCTTCAGTGGACAATATGAACAATTCTGCAGCAACACATCTATAAGCGGTTGCCCCTTAGGAGTCAGAATTGTCCAAGCTTTACACTGAGATGTCTATAACGCAAATAAGCTTTGTTTAATTAAAGCCTCCCTCCTGAGACTGTATTTTTCCACTAGTTGAGGTAAAAGCAAAGTCATTAAGCAATGCTCTCGTTAAGTCCTTTTTAAAATGTCATTTGAGTCACAGAACAATCCAAAGAAAACAGCAATTCCAACTTGCACAGCGGAGGTCTCGGAGCGATGGAGGGGGGGGGAAAAAAGGCAAGCTTTTTGTTAGACCAGTTTCCACAATGTCACGTCTTTAACGCCACAGTCCCTATTGTATGAAGCTCATCCTACATAACTCTCAACTGGAGGGGTATTTTGGACAATGACTTTTTAAGGGGAATCCATCCGAGTGTTGCTCGAAGCTTCACGCAGCCGGTGAGCAGCCTCAGATGTTGGCTTCAGGTTGGGTCACTGTGAGAAAGGGGACCACTTCAACGCATCCAGGCATCCCCCCCCCCCGGTGTCTCCACAATGGACTGGCGTACAAAGTCTTCCTTAGCCTAGCCTGGGTGGGATATCAGATTACCCTTAACGCTACTCTTTTAAATCCAAGATCTACAGTTTTTATAACAGCTTTTCTTATGCAAAAGAAAAATTGTATTGTTGAAACACTGCCTATGATAAACTTACTTCTGTTGACAAATCCACCGACACGGTGAATATCCAGGCAGTAGTTTAGGTAAAAGCTTAGGCTTCCCAGTCAAAGGGGAGGATTAATTGATACAGCCAGTTCTTGATTGGGATAAAGGTGGGAGTCAAAAGGAAGGCGGACGGGGAACCAGGAAGAGAGACCGGTTTATTCACGCTCCCAGTCGGTGACTGCTCCAAATACGGACCAGGACACAATTATGACAATCAAGCACCATTTGTGTCGAGGGTTTTTCTTCTCTAGGTTCAAAACCCAAGACTGGAAGTTTATTAGCATGACTCCTTAGAAGGAGCTGTAGATCTTCCAGGAGCTACAACTGCTATTATTCACAGCGTGAAAAGCAGAGAGAGAGAAAGAGTATTCTGAGAACAACCGAAAAGTCGCAGAAAAACGATCGGAATAAAATTAAAGAGTAAATTTGCCACAGCCTTTAAAAGTGACCGCGGGGGAAAAAAACACAAGTGCACAATATCTAAGCTAAGAGAGGTGGAAATAGGCCTTCTCGCCTCTTTAAAAACAAGAAAGGGAAATAAAAACAAGAAAGAGACAGACAGAACAGACTGTAGGCAGAAAAAAATCCTACTTCTAATGACAGTCAAAGTAATATTAAATTACTGTCTGGCTAGATGCTTATTAGTACTGATAGAAGACATAGGACAGCATTAATCGTGACATTTTCTGCGCTGGAGTTCCAGAGAGCTTATGGATGTACAAGGATGTTGCAAACTCTTGTAGTTTTTTTTTTCTTTCTATTTTTAAAAATGGCATCTCTTCTGGTACAAGATGGCTTCGAGAGTCAAGCTACTCTACTAATGCCACTGTAGGAGTACGAGTAGTGCAACACATGTACATCTAAACTTTGTCGTAGAACGTTCATGAGAATTAAATGTGCACATTTTATAATAAAAATGAAGACACAGAAAGCCTGGATTTGTGTTTGTTTGTTTTTTAGTGGACTTCTGGGAAGTCAGCACCTGTGTGTTTGTTTTTATAAAGTTTAATACTTCAAGACTGTGGTGTAATTAACTATTTTTCTTTAATACTCGTGAAAATCCCTGTGTTTGATGGAGACATAAAGTATTCTGAGCATCCTGACACTGGGAAAAAAGACATTCTCAACAGAACAAACTATGGACGTTTTCCAATCTAGAACCCACGAGAGACCTTTCTTTAAGAAACACTATAAAAATAAAACAATCTCTATCAACCAATATATTAATGGAGAAACAATCCCTTCAGGGTTTAGCAATTTCAAGTCCTTTTAAGATAGGAAGCTTTAGGACATCCTTAACCAGCAATGGGAAAAGTCTTTTAGTGCCCTCGGGCATCATCATCTAAATTTAGTAAAAATCAAACTGCACAGAGGTTTAAGTAAGTGTTAAATCTAGCAAGTAAAGGAAGCAAAAATAATATTATTATTTTTTTAAAAAAAATACTGTTTCATAATAATTTTAACAGAAAAGGGACTAAAACAAAGATGATGCCATCGCTAAGCGTTTTTCATAATTAAGCATCCAGGACACTTTTATTCTTGACACTCGTCTTAATTTAAAATATTAATCACTTCTTTCCCTGAAAGATCGCAGAACAATATACACTGCAGAAAAATAAATTAACACCATGCAGCTGCAAGGCAGGGCTCTTCATCACATTCCTTAGGAAGAAATTGAAGAATAAGTTGGAATCTTTGCCTTTATAATAGTCAGGCTTTCCTGTTGATAAAATAGGAATTGAAAAATAGGTTTGTACTGAAGTCGCCTTACGGGGGACCAAATTCCCTCTTGGCCTGAAAACAAATTTATTTCTAATTTCAAAGGGTTTTGAACAAATCTGTTGTGGGACACGTTCCGTGAACCTATAGATGGAATCCCGGCTTTGACTTAAACTATTTCAGCTCTAAGTTTAGAAGGATGAAGTAAGAATAAACAAAGGTTACACCAAAATACAGATGGTCCTTAGGCCATGTCGGCAATCGGGACTGGAAGTGCGGTCGCTAAGGACGCGCCCGTAAAGCGCGACGTCACGTGATCTTGGCAGTGGCCACCCCAGCCCTCCCCACTGCGTTATTAAGCGAGAATCATACATCATTAAACAAGCACCTCCTTGCAACTTCCTGCCAGCTGCCCACAACCAGTGGGGAAGCTGTCAGGAAGTTGCACATTGCAGGAAATTTGCAGGAAGGCAGGCAGGCAAGTATGGCGGGGGGCTTCCCGGGGGAGAGGGAGGGAGGGGGTGTGGTGAGGGGGGGGAAAGGCAGGACAATACAGGTAAAATAAACTGAGGGGGGAGATCATCAGATTGCCCTTACTTTTCCGCCGTATTGCTCCAGTTTTTGCAACGCCTCCGTGGTTTGTTCTTTGAACTTCTTGCTCATCTGTCTCTTGGAAAGCTGGGGGGGCAAGGGGGGGGGAGGCAAAATTAACAGACAGACAGGACAGTGGGATTTTTAAATGGTCAGACATGGTGCAACATCCTTGTTCAA